AAATGGATGTTCAATCATATGTCATTCAAGCCATCCAGCCTGAAAAAAATTATAAAATGGGAATATCGATATAATATGATAAAAGTAAATAATAGAAAATTCCATTCGAAACATCTTAAAATTCCAGGATGCGTAGCTATTGACGTTTGATCCTGTTTTATGAGATTATATTCTAAGGCTGAAAAGAGTAGTTTAGCATTTTACCTAAATGAATGTGGGCTTGAAAGTAAAATGGATATGCCTATTCACCGCATGAACAAATATTATGAAAGGGCATTAAAAGAGCTAGATTCCATGTTGGCTGAACAAATGCGTGAAGTGGCCAAATATTATATTATCAACGCTCTTAGTTGCCAGCAGTTAATAGTAAAGCATAATGCAATTAATGAGTATAGAGAGGTGGTATCTGTAGCCTTTATATTATTATACGATTTACATTATTTTGCAGTAGGAATGAAAGTACGTAATCTTTTAAATGCCAGTGCATGGCAGGAAGGGATTTTAACTAGCGCAATTCCATGTGAACAAACGGAAACAGGGAAGTACCCTGGAGCTTATGTTTTTCCACCGGTAAAGGGTCTCGAAAATAGACAACCTGTAACCGGCTTAGACTTTGCATCATTGTATCCAAGTCTTATCATGACATATAATCTCTTACCTGATAAAATCATTTTATCTCGAGAGCGTGCTGAATCTCTAAAGGAGAGCGGTAAAAAACTTTATAAAATTAATTTCAAATTCAATAGTCGCGATATTCTCGCATAGTCTATAGAGCATGAAAACTAAGCCGAAATGAAAGGCCTTTATCCAAAAGTATTAGAGGAGTTGCTTATTAGACGTAATTCACTAAAAAGCCGTCTTGCTCTATTAAAGAATAAAAAAGAAGAATTAGAAAAGGAAATTAGTTTAGCGGAAGCAAGGGGCGAGGACGTTACAGATGTTTTAAAATCTGAATACTCTTCAGTTTCCTTCATTGTCACCTGTCTAGACGCAAAACAACTCGCTTTAAAAGTGTATATGAATACGTTTTATGGTGAAGCCGGGAATGGTGGATCTCCTTTCTTCTTGCGAGCATTAGCAGGCGGGGTAACATCAGCTGGTCAGTGGAATATCAAGCTTATTGCTGACCTTGTCAGAAGTAAAGGGTTCGGTGTAAAATATGGGGACACTGATTCATTATACCTTTTTTGTTCAAAAGAATATTTCTGGAAGTGTGATGAGAAATATATTTCAGAAAAGATATCGAAAGAAAAATACTAGGAGGAGATGGTGGAAATATCTATGAAGGCAATGAGCGAATTTCGAGGTGAAGTTAATGACTTTCTCAGGGAAGATAACGGATCCCCTTATCTCAAAATGGTATATGAGGAAGTCTTATTTCTGGTAGTATTTATTGGAAAGAAAAAATACTACGGCATTCCACATACAAGTAAGCCCAACTTTAATAATAAGCTTTTCATTTGAGGGGTTGAGATTGTAAAGCGGGGGCAGTCTAAATACTTTTGTGAGGTGGGTAAGAAGGTCATGGATGAATCTATAAGGCTGGATAATGATAATACTCGCACCTTACATCAGATTGTGAAGGATGTGCTCAAAGAGACCATAAATGATATTTCACAGATAGATCTTAATGGAGTGGTTAAAACTGCTGTGTGAAAGCCTGATAAAAATAACAAGAGTGTCCAGCATTTCATTTTACGAATATGGGATAGATACACCTGTAAAGAAGCGGATGCCAAACGGCGCATAAAAAAGGGCCTAACATCTGAGCCTTATCTTTATAAAATCCCAGAACCAGGCGAACGTTTTGAGTATATTGTAGTTGAGAATGATTTATTACAGAGGGTAGGGGATAAAATGGAGTATCCAAAGGTAGTGAGGCGATTAGGTAAAAAGATCAATATCAGCTATTATCTGAAAACTGTTGTCGGCCTCTATGCATGATTTATTAACTATGATGAAAGACACCAGCCATCATCTGAAATTGTGCTGGGGGTCTTAAAAAAGTTAAAAGATGGTAATAAAGCGGGTGACAATAAAGCGGATGATGGTGGGATGGATGAAGACGACCTGGATAAAGACGAAGAGGATGAAGACGAAATGGATGAAGATGAGGTATCAAAAATAAGAGATGCCTTAGCGCAGAAATCAGCT